CCTCTGTTATGAAAGGAGGTTGGGCTTAGGCCACTTCTGGCTCTGGCCCCTAAGACGGATCTTCCGAACTGCAGAGCTGGCACAATTCCAAAGGAGTGTTAACAGTGGTGACAGAAGTAAGGAGAAGAGCCCCAGGGGACCAAAGGAAGGCAGGAGGAGGTGAAGGAGGGAAGAAAACAATGGTGCGTCAGAGCACCATAGGGACGGGGCTGTTGGACTGGGAGTCAGGACACCTGGGGCTGCATCCTGAGCTGCGTGAGCCTGGACAAGCTTTGGAAAAATAGACATCAGAGCAGAAGGAATCTTGGAGATCTCCTAGCCTAACCTTTTCATTTTACAGATGAGAAAACTGAGGCCCAGAGAAATGAAGTGACTTGCTTAACCTCACGCAGACAGTAAGGTGCAAGGTTGAGATCTGAACTCATCTCTTTTGACTAGAGGCAATGTGGTTCAATGAAAAGAACCATCATTTGGAGTAAGAGGACCTTCATCTCCCCTATAATGTGATCCTAGGCAAGTCACCTAATCTCCCAAGGTCTGAGCTTCCTCTTCTGTAAAAGAGGAGAACTGAACTAGCTGGGCCCTGAGGGTCCTCCCAGCGCTAAACCTATGACTCCATGACTCCGATCTCAATGATCTTTCCACTGCCAATCTCATTTCACTTCCTCTGTTGCCCTATCTGAAAAATAGGGCTAATAATACAGGAATGTCTCAAAGAAAGCATCACATCAATGTGCTTAATGTGCTTTGGAAATGTGAATCATTAGTATCATTATGACGGCAGAACGCCAAAGGGGAAATTAAATTCCCAGGTGATCTACATCAATGAGCAGCAAACAGCTGATTAGGGACAATCTGAGGGAGAGGGGGAGGGCAGGAATAAATGGAGAAGAGAGGAAACATCGTGAGAGAAAACCCATGGGCCAGAAAGGATACTGTCCAATGTAAGAGCATTCACTGAATGCAACAAAGACAAATGAAAAAATGATTACTATCCCCCCACCCCCAGCCACCCACCAAGCTGGCTCACTGTCATTGCTTCCGGCATCTGGGGCCTTAAGACATCACAACTAAGCCGGAATTCTCTCTTAGTGTCTGATCTCCTAGAAAACTCCACTTGAAGTATTTGAGAGATCGGGGTAGCTGAAACAGAGGCAGAGAAGAGAGAAGTGGGAACTCAGAGTCCACCTCAAAACATACTATCCAAAAGGTGCCTATTCTGCCACCATAAAGCAGGGAAGACCAACTGAAGTATCGGAGGGACTGACTTCAAGTCCAGCCTCTGGCACTAACTTCCTATGAGACCCTGAGCAATTCATCAAGCCAGTCTAGACCTCGGTTTCCTCACCTAGAATGAGGCATTTCAAACTGATGGCCCGGATGGCCTCTTTGAGCTCAACACCTTTCAGGCAGATGTGTATCATGAAATATTTAGCATTCTGCCCCCTCCATTGGAGGGCTGTCTGTCAAGAAATGGGTTTCCTTTCCAATCTGATCAGCAATTCAAATCACTTGGAACAAGCTACTAATAGTAATATATGATTTTGTCAGCGGGGGGAACTCCCACTGTGGGAACTTCCTCTCTCAATCTCAATAGCAGCCCATCTGTGAAACACAGACTGGTTCCTTTGGAGCTGCAGGGGACCTGAGGGGCTATCTAGTCTGACCATCCCCCCATTTTACAGAAACAAAAACTGAGGTCCAGAGAGAAAGTGATTTGTCCAAGATCACTCAGTGTCAGAGACAGGACTGAACTTCTGTGTGGGGATGTCAAACCCAACACTTGATCCAACTCTCCCTCCTTGCTTCGATGGCTACCAGCATAGGGATGAAAAACCAGACCCAAGATTACATCGACAGAGGAGGAGATTCCCCTGTCCAATGCACGTTGGCACTTTGCCTGAAATTATCATCCTCTTGAGTTGCCTAGACTCAGCGATGAGATGTTAAGTGACTTGCCCAGGGTCATACAGCATGTGTCTATCTTGTGTCTATCAAAATAAGAACTTGAACCCACATCTTCCTGGACCCAAGGCTAGCTCTCTGCTCACTCTCCCACTCTGCCTCTGCACAACTCCTAGCATCCCTGAATGCTTCCTTTTTCTTATGCCAAATGAAAAAGCAGCAATGAGCCTTTGCCTCGTCATCATCCCAGGGGTTATGGAGAAATCTAATGAGGTAAAGTTTGTTGTGGTTTTTTTTTAACGCTTGAAGGTCCTTCAACAAATGGCATTTGTAAATGCAAAGAATAAGCTTTTAGTAGAGTAATAACAAAGGACAGTTTCTTGGCATTGCCAAGATTGGGGGGAGGAGCAGAAATGTGCACATGCATGTCCTAATCCTTAGGACTGGCTAAAACCCAGAACAGGCCAGAACTAGATTTTAGCAGCCAAACCTCTTGAGCTAGCTTGCTAGAGACTGAATGAACTGACTTTCAGTGATAAATAAACAGTACAGCTACCTGAGTTTCTGTGCCTGTCTTTTGGATTCACACAATCAAAAATATCTTTTCTAGAGGCCATGTAGTCTGAGGATGCTTAGCCTGGAAAAGAGGAGATTTGGAGCTGAGAGAAGGAAGAGGAGAAGAAGGCATAGTGTTTGTCTCCAAGGACTTAAAGGGCTGGCATGTGAAAGAAAAAACAGATAGCTAGGTAGAGACATAGATACAGACAGAGATAGATTCATATATGTGTATATACTTTTATCACTGATGTCAAGAAACATATACACGTGTGTATGTACATATATATGACAGTCTTGATTTCAAGAATATATGTACACACATACATACATGCATATATTCTTGATATCCAGAGCATTCCAGAAATATGTATATATATGCATATATATTTCTTGATATCAGTGATAGACATATATTTGTATAGACACATATAGATGCATAACATTTATGTATGTACACATGTATGCACAAATACAAAGATACACATATGTATCTATATATACATATCTATGTATATCTATCACTGATGTCAAGAAATATATGCATATATATACACATACATATTTCTGGAATACTCTGGATATCAAGAATATATATGTGTATGTGTGTACATATATGTTTATATTTTTTTTTCCTTTACATCACTGATAGAAATAGGAGCAAAGGATGCAAGTTTTGGAGATGCAAAGTTCAGCTTCATATGAAGGGAAATGTCCTAATCACTGGAGCTGCCAACAAGTGAAGTGGGCTCCCTAGGCAGGCATCACGGAATCTGACAGCTGGAAGGGACCTCAACAGCCATTAGTAAAACCCAAAGTGAACACTAATCCTCACTATAACAGACCTGACAAGGGAATATCCAGCCAGTTTCTACTTGAAAACTTGCAAGAATGGGGAGCTCACCACTTCTTGAAGCTACGGCTCAGAAGCAAAGAGAGTTGGGAGGGACCTGAGATTATCTAAGTCCAATCCGGGCCTTTAAAAGAGTGCAGATGATCTGTACTGTGGGCAGGTAGCCAGCCAGCATCTGGGAGATGTGAGAGAGGAGGGTGGCCGTGCGGGACTGAGTTGGATTGGGTAGTCATAATGTGGCCTCCAATCCTAAGGGACAGTCCATGATGCTAAGAGCCATAAAAACCATCCAGGGGAATGCACTGGGGTCAATGACAGCAAAGCCTCCTGTTCTGTTTAACTTCCTTTTCTGATTAATGAGGGGCAAACCAGATGTTGTTCTTGGTTCAAGACCTTGCTCTTGGAAATCCTTCTAAAACTGCAGTCATCCACTTGCCTATGTTAGAACAGAAAAGGAGCATCATTTTTCTCTGAGGATTTCAGTATATCAGGGTCAGCATTCTGAAGGCTGTGTTCAGTGTTCAGAGATTAGATGGAATTGTATTGAGCCCAAGGCATAGTCTGAAATTGGACATTTTGAAAAATAACCCTGATGGTCTTTGGTCCTACACATAGAATGCCTGGGGTTGAGGAGGAGGGGGTAGAAAGCAAATCGGGTTCCCTGAGCATTCCAATTAGCTAGATTCTGTTTAATTGAGGATTTGCTCAGCTATTTCTTCAAAGTACAGCAGCTGTTGATTCCACTATGTCTCTAAGAGGTAGCTTTCACTGGTGAATAAAGTGCTGGACTTGGCATTGAGGGCATCAGGTTCGAATCCTGACTCAGATACTTTCTACCTGTGTGATTGTGGGCAAGTCACTTAACTGCTCCCAGACTCAGTTTTCACATCTGTGAAATGGGCATAATAATTCCTGCAGAACTGGCCTTGCACTGTTTTTTGTGAGAGTCAGATAAGAGAATGTGTGTCAAATACTTTGCAAATTTCAAAGCACTATATAGGTACACATGTGTATATATGTATGTATATAGGACAATTACTATTATTGTATAAAACCATTCCCTCACCCATCTCCTTCTACCCCCTTGCCAGCCACTACAACGGACTTTTTGAATACACAAATTAAGAAAAGAGATTAAACCTAGGAACACTCTAAATTGTTAAATAACAATAATAATTTAAAAAAAAAACTTTCCCCCAAGTTCATTTTGTTTTCCTTATGTTTTTTTATGGGTCTGCTGCTTTAAGAGTCTGCAGCAGCAGTAATGACCTTCAGTTCAAGCTACTTCCTGCCTGTTAATGACCATCAGGGTGAAAGGCTCCAGACTTGAATCCAGTTTCCTTCCAGCTGGTGGTGGTAGCTGGGAACCCATCACCTTGTCATCCATTACTCCTCAAATCAAGTTATTTCCACATTACTGTCAAATTAACTACTTTTCTTAGAGCCATTTCAACATACTTTAGGCAGTTTCAAGGCACCCAAAGAAATTTCTCTCTCTCTCTCTTTTTTTAAGGACAAATAAGACAATGTCAACACTCACTGTGAAACTGGAAAAGTATGTTGGGCAGTTGTGGAAAGAAAGCAGTCAAACCTTGGTGTGGTCTGAGTTAACAGGACAGTTAGATGCAGAAAATGCATTGCATTGTTATGGAAACGAGTCGGAAGAACATGTTCCAGCCGTTAGACATTTCTATTAGGGAAATGGGTTTATTGACATAGCTAACCATTAACACATACAGCATGGGTACATTTCCTATTGGAAGATGAGCCAGGGTGAGGATTTGGAATGGGGTGCCTGCCTTGCTAACACAGGGATGGTCTACCATGGAATTTCAGAGAGCAAACACTGGTCTTTTCTGCCATTTTTCTTTTGAGGCTCATGATTATAATCCTAAGCAAAAGAAATGGATGAGAGTCAGAAGGTCTGATGGGAAGAAAAAAATAGAATAAAAAAATGGGAAGGGAGGCCTGGGCCCTCTGATAAAATTGCCCATAAGTCAATGAATGAGTCTGGGATGAGGGTGAAACCAAGTGGCCCATGGGCTCCATGGTCCCCACGCATTAGATAGCAGCATTGGCAGGCCAGTTCTATCTGGACCCAGTGTGACACCCTGGACAAGAGCCTATTCCCTGAGTCATCTAGACCCCCAGGAAATTTTAAAGGCATTAAACAAAAAGGTCAAAAAAAGGAGACTTAGCACCAGTCTGCTGGTCTCCACAGCATCCTCTCCTGACACAGATCCACAGTTTCGTACCTCTAAAGGACGGTATTCCCAGAACACACACACACACACACACACACACACACACACGTTCATGTAAACCAAAGCACTATATTGAGTGTCAGATGCAGACTTCAGTAAATACAAAAGAAGGAATAACAGCTCCACAAAGTTAAAGACCTCTGAGATTAAAGAGTTTTTTACCCTAAGATCTGGGAACAAAAACAGATTAAAAAAAAGACTACAAGTATTTTCTAAAAGCTAGGATGTAACTTTATCAATATTCGATAGCAGAGTCAAACACTGGGCATTTAGTGTATGGGTTAATTTAAAAAAATAATTTTTTTCACAGTGAGTTCTAAATCCTTATAAGATTCTGCTGGTTTTAGTGGAAAGACTCATTGGCACAGGGTTATTTCACATGGTGTCTGCAGCTTCTCCCATTCAATGTAGAGTAAGGCATAGAAGGGCTCACCCATGGCTGCAAGTCAGTGAAGAGTTAGCCTCTTCACCCACTCCTACAATTAGGAAATTAGGTTTGTCATCTAACTACAGACTAATGGGAACTGGGCATGTGGAAGGTTTCTGTAGAATCTTCGATCAAACATCCCATGTTTATTCTAATGCTAGCTGTTAGAGACGCAATGACCTTGAAGAGAGAACCAGACACTTCCCAGTGTTCATCAAGTCAGCTGCAGGCATTGCCACTGCATCTTCCTCTGCCTAAGGCAGGTAAGGGAGATGGGCAAACCCAGACAGAGAAGTCTGGTCTGCAACCACAGGTAACCGATCCATTCCCACTTGAACTTGCTCCAAGGAAAGTATGCAGCCCTAAGTCCCGTTCCCAAAGTTTAACCACTTTGTTATTTCATTATCCAACTTTAAACAGCTTCCTGCCAAGCGTGGCTAGAAAACCCCCGGTGCTCATTAGTGGGCTGGTGGAGTGGGTTCAATGTCAGGACTGGCAGAGTCTTCTTCACAGTTTAAAAAGGATTCATGTGTATTTGTCTCAGCAGATAAAATCCCAAAAGCACCTGAATGATGCCTCAGCAAACAGGAATATGGTGCCTGAGGGCTTCAGGAAGTTTCCCCACCTCCTCCTAGCACCAACAGGAATTCCAGGGCCAGAAGGGGCTGTTGCCTTAACCTCCCAGAGAGGCTCTGAAGTTCCTTCTGTTTTTAAAATGAAAACAAAGGTGTGTCTTTCTAGAGGGCAGTGATTAAACACCAAGTCTTGGCCAAAGGCCTCCTGCCTGGCCTATGGCCACGAGGAGTAGAGAGATCCAGCTGGTGTGAGAAGCATAATTCAACCATTTTTTTTTTAAACTCAAACAGAACCAAAGCTGACAGTTTGGGGATGAGAGCAAAGGAAGTTGTCCCAATCCATCCACATATCAGATGTCACCCAGCCTGACATGACCGCAATTCTGTACACCAGCTATGCTCCATTTTTTTCCCCCTGGCTTGGACAGTCTAAAACTCCACATACTGGGGGTTGGAGGCCTAGGACAAAAAAGGGGGCGGGGCACAAAGGGAGGGTTTGAGGAAAAGGAGCTTCCTAGTGGGGAGACTTCGAGGAGAGAGTTTGCCCCATTGAGACCACAGCATTCCCTGGCTTCACTCCCAACCACTGGCACCTGGGCCTCAGTCAGCAAAGCGCTGCATTAGATGGTCGTCCCTCCTGCTCCCTCCACTGCCACCCCCACTGTCCATGAAGCGGTCACAGGGGAACTCGATGAGATCCGCCTCGCTCAGGGCGCACACCGCCGTGCGAGGCCGATGGGACTGGAAGCCCGAAAAGTCTGCCGAGACCCCGGTACCCATGGAGCGAAGAGGCCGTCGGGTGGAATACATCTGACGCACGTGGACTGGGGCTCCCCCTTTCCTGCGGCCTCGCAGCTTCCTCCGAAGCCAGCGGGATGCCCAGGCCGCCAGTGCCAGGAACACCAACAGAGCATTGACAGCCAGGAGTACCAGGGTCAGCAACTGGTAGTCCACGCCTCCTCCTCGGGCCCCAACGTGCCCAGCTTCTGGCAGGGTGACCAGCCCCGCACAGTGGTCCCGGGGAGCCACGGGACAGACCCGGCCCCCGAGCACGGCCTCCACGCACACCAAGTAGGGGGTGTCGCCCCGCAGCTCCCGCAGCGTGGCCGTGTCGCTTCGCTCAGGCAGGTAGACAAAACGGTGGAATTTGGGCTGCTGACCAAAGCGGTCGAAGAGCAGACGGAAGCGGGCGCCGTCCAGCGGCCGTGGGCTGCGGTGCTCGCGGACAGCCCAGCGCACCGTGGCAGTGTCCGTGCCCACCGCCTCCACCGTCAGGTTGCAAAGGATGAATTTGTTGAAGTCGCACGGGTCCGACACCAATGGGGGCAGCATCTCCTGGGCCACGGACGGGGAGGCCTGCTCCTGATGCTTCGCAGCCAGGCGTTGCATCTCCGCCCTCTGCCCGGAGTCGCTGGCTGGCGATGGGGCAGAGCTAGACGGGGAGTCACTCTGGAAGCTCGGGGTAGACCGGGAGGGGCCTTTATCTTCCCAGCTTGGGCTCGTCCCCTCGGGTTTCTCCAACAGATCCACGGGTGGGGACCGTTGAAGCGTAGTTGCCGAGGAGGGGGATGGATGCTGGAGGCCTGGACCCCGCCGGCTAAGCCTCAGGCCGCTCTGATTGCTGCTGTGTGCCCGTGCCCCCTCGTCCCAGGCCACCCTGGGGTGGGCGAGGCCGCGCTGCTGCTGCTGGGGCTGGGGCTGGGGCTGAGGCTTCCCAAGATCTCCAAGAGGGGGCGCCCTCGGCTCCTCCCCGGCTCCAGCCGCCGTAGAGACAGCCGGCAGGACTGAGGCTGGGGAGGAGGAGGCGGCCGGCTGGAGGCAGGAGCCGTTCTGCAGCTGCACGTCGTCCAGGTAGTCGAGGTACTTGCCGCGCAGGGCCGGCGGGTGACGGCACTGCACGAACACCGTCAGCAGGCGGCCCTGCGAGTGCCAGTGGCCCATCCAGCGCTTTAAGCCGCGCAGACGGCAGTCGCAGGTCCAGCCGTTGCCGTCCAGGTCCAGGCGGTAGAGGGCCGGGCTGGCAGTGAAGATGTCCCCGGCGAGCGAGCCGAGCTCGTTGTCCCGCAGGTTTAGCTCGCGCAGGCGGGACAGGTGGCGGAAGGCGGCCGGGTGCAGGGCCGAGAGCTCGTTGTGGCTCAGGTCCAGAGTCTCCAGGCTGCCCAGCGGGTCCAGCAGCGTGGCGGGCAGCTCCCGCAGCCGGTTGCCCTCGAGGCGCAGCTCCCGCAGGGCGCTCAGCCCCACGAAGGCCTCGGGCGCCAGGTGAGCCAGCTGGTTACCGCTCAGGGAAAGCAGGCCGAGCCGGGGCAGGTGCTGGAAGACGCGGCCGCCCAGCTGCTGCAGGCTGTTGGCTGACAGAATGAGGGTACTGAGCGAGCGCAGCGGCCCAAAGGTGGCCGGGTGGCGCAGCGACGGCTGCAGCTCGTTGCCGGACAGGTTGAGGAAGCGCAGCTTACCCAGGTGTGCGAAGGCATTCTTGCCCAGGAAGCGGATGCGGTTGGCCTCCAGGTGCAGGTAGAGGAGGTTGCCCAGGGGGGCGAAAGGCCGAGTCGGGCAGGGAGCCCAGTGAGTTGCTGTCCAGCCTCAGCTTGACCAGGCTCTCCAGGCCCTCGAAGGAGCCCCGGCTCAGCCTGCCGATTTCGTTGCCATTGACGTAGAGGATGCGCAGTTTGGCCAGAGGGGCCAGCGTGCCCGGGGCCAGACCCTCGAGCAAGTTATTACCCAGGTAGAGCTCTTCCAACCGGGACAGTTTCTCAAAGGTCTTGGGGTGCAGGGAGCGGATCTGATTAAACTGCAGGTCGAGGCGCCGCAGCTGCGCCAGGCGATGGAAGTCAAAGGCGGTGATGTTGGCTATGAAGTTGCCCCCGAGGCTGTAGGTCAGCACCTCCTGGGGGCTGGGCAGGGCGCTGGTCTTGGGGTACGGCGCGAAGCCCCCGGTTGGTGCAAAGGAGGTGCTGCTGGTGCTGGCAGTCACAGCGCTCCGGGCAGATGGGTTCCGGTGGCGGCGGCAGCGAGAAACAGCCGCCCACCAGCAGCAAGAAGTGGACAGTCCAGGCGACCTCCATCCCCGACAGACGTGCGCGCGGGTCCCCCTCTTAGCCCACAGCCTCGCTCATGCCCCTTTCTCTGCCCGCAGTCTCCGCCAGTCCCTCGAGTCGCTCCGTCAGGGTCCTCCCTGACGTCGGGCCGGGTCCTCCGGACGGGATCCGCAGCGGGTGGGACGCGCCTGGAGAATCTAGTTTGGACCGAGCGCCGCCGCGCCAGCACCATCCGCGCTCCGGCGGCCGTCTGCCTGCCTGCCCGCCTGCCAGCCTGCGAACGAGTGCAGCAGCCCCTCTGGGCGGGGCCGGGGAGTGGGGGAGGGAAGCCGGTCCCTCTCCTCCTTTTGCTCTGCTGCGGGCCTGCAGCAAGGCCTGATTCCCGGCCCTCCCGAACTGCCCGGGCTGCAGGCTGGAGGCAGTTCGCTTAGCGCTCCCCAGAGGTCCTGGCCCGTCCGAGTTCCTCCCAGCCCTAGCCTTGGTCGCGGAGTAGCTTCATGGCTCCAGTCCCTCCTCCTCCTGCTGCTGTTCCTTCTCCTCCCCCTCCTCCGCCGCCTCCTGGTCCCCCGGATCCACGCGAAGGGGGGTCTGAGAGGGTGGCCCCCACGCCACTGGCCGGGAGAGGCGAGTGAGCAGACTCCGGAGCTGCCGGCCGGAGTCCGAACTCCCGAAAGTACTGAGGGAAAAGAGAAAGAAAAAAAAAAACCGGGGCCGGAAATTCGTACTTCCCACACTCCGTCCCCCCCGGGACCCCAGGCGGGAAAGAGGATCCGGCGGGGCTAGGAGCAAGCCCCCCGCGAGGGGGAGCAGGAAACCTTGGAGCCGCCAGGGCCGCCGCCGCGCTGCTTCTGGGCAGCTCCGGGGACAGCGGCCCCCGAATGGGAAAGGGACGGATTGGAACCAGCTGCGGGGACTGGGACGGGCGGGGGGGGCGCTGGGGAAGGGGGGCTAGAGGGGTGGGGGAGGGGGAGGAGTGGGAGAAGAGGGGAGGCTTTCGGGATGCAGGGGAGGGGGACCGCCAGCAGAGTGGGGGCAGGGGGACAGCCAGCTGAGGGCGGGGGTGAGGAGGGAATAAGCGAGGAGACCAAGGATGTCTGCTGACACACAGAGCCATTTTTATTTGCAAAGAATAACCTGGCCCCTTCCCTCGAGTAGCAGGAGCGAGCAAGCGTCCCCTCCGAGCAATCCGGTGGAAGTCAATTGCCTGGAGAGAACCACCCTCCCGGAGCTGGAGCAGGAAGTTTCCCCAGATCTTGGCCTAGGGCCATCAGCATTATATAGGAAGTTTTTGGCAGGCACATCAAGGCTGTCTGGAGAGGGCTGGTGAGCGGGCGCTGTCACTATTGTACTACTGAAAGAAGCCGGCCCGTGCATAGATGGCCCCTGTGTTCTGGTTTCTAACATCTGGGGAATGAGACTGGGCTGGGTGAGCGTGGTATCAGCTCCCTGGTAGCGAGCTCTTGTTCAACATGGTTCCCAGAAAGCGTGCGCTGGCACTGGCAGGCCGGCAGCTTAGGCGAGGGCCTGGCAGGCCACGGCCAGTCAGTTTTCATAGTCAGGTCCTGTGAATTCTGTTACGACCTTTTAAGCCCTCGAAGGCAGCTTCTGGGGGGTCTGGAATGAGTCTTTGTCGGGTGCATTTAAGGCCCATGGCATTGCCTGCTGGAGGGATTTGCTAGACTTTCTGGGGCCTGCCTGCTACATTTTTGCTTTGGAAAAGGCAGCTTGGGGTGATAGGAAGAATGCTGGAGAGATACAAAGCTAGAGGGCTGGACGTGGAGTTAGGAAAACCCTGAGATCAAATCCTGCCTCTTAGTTGTGTGACCCTGGATAATGTCACTTAACCTATATAGGAGCCTCAATTTCCTCATCTGTCAAATGGGGTCAGTAAGACCAGGAGTCATCCCATCTCTGTGATTGCTGTGAAGTGTGAATGAGATGATGAGTGATTGAATGAGAACACATTTATTAACGTCCTGACTATGTGCTAAGCACTGGGTTTGCAGGTTGTTTTGCAAACCCTGAAGTACTCTGTACCTGGCAGTTATAACTCCAGTAAAGGAAATGAAATAGTTATGAAAAGCAGTACACCATTACTTCGCTATACAATGCAGCATAACAAACAATTATTAAGTGCCCAGTGTTAGCTGATGTGCAAAGTTCAGGTAAAACAAATAAGTGCTCTCAGTTTAAGAAGCTTCTGGTCTAGACCCCACATTTAGAGCTCAAAGGGGCCTTAGAAACTAGTCCCATGCCCCTTATTTTACAGATGAGGAGACTGAGACCCAGAGAAATGTCTAAAGAAGGGTCCAATGGTTAGCAAGTGGCAGAGCCCAGGTTCAAATCCAGGCCTTGGAGCTGCCAAATCAGTGCCCTTCACATTAATTGTAGGAGGAGACATAAACACACATAGACAAGATTCAGTGCTAGAAAACAAAGTTGTAGGTGCCAGCTGAGAGGGGATGTTGTTACTGACAGACTTCCTGAAAGGGGCAGTGCTTGTGCTGGCTGTTAGAGAACAGGCAGAATTTGCCACATGAAGGCTAAAGCGAAAAGAATTCAGAGGAGGGAGATGTTCATGGCTGGGGCTGGAGCAGGGAGAAGAGATTTGATTGTGAGGAGCCATCTGAGCTGGCCCTTGGATAGGACTTGGAGAAGTGGAAGGGAAAGGAAGCAGCGTACTCTCAGGAGAGGAGAGAACACCTGAGCAGAGGATGAAAAGCAGGGGCCTGGGTGACAACAGGCTGTCCGAGAGGCAAGGCATTCTGTTTTATTATCATTCTCCCCCATTACTTAAGTCAAAACAACCAACAAAGCAATAAACCTAGCCCTGAATTGGAGTTTGCTGATTTGTCCATTTCTGCGTCAATGCCTACATCAACAATTTAACAACCTGCTCCCCAGTATGAGTGGACTCAAGCCTACCTCTAACTATAGGAGCTAGGGGAAAGGGAAAGGAAGGGGACTTAGGTTCCCCAATAGGGACCCTGCTGCTTCTGCTGGACGGATTCTAGAATGGCCTTGGGTGGGGGCAGTGGGGCAAAAGCAAAAGGGAGGGGGTAAGGCACCCCTGGTGGTGGTCAGAAGGGCAGCTAAGTGGCACAGTGGATAGAGCACAGGGCCTGAAGTTAAGAAGACTCATCTTCCTGAGTTCAAATCTGGCTTTAGACACTTACTAGCTATGTGACCCTGGGCAAGTCACTTTACTCTGTTTGCCTCAGTTTCCTCATCTGTAAAATGAGCTAGAGAATGAAATGGCAAATCCCTCCAGTATCTCTGGCAAGAAAACCTCAAATGGGGTCATGAAGAGTCACACACAACTGAAATGACTGAACAGCTTCCTGACTCCAAGCCCAGCATTCAATCCCCTACACCTTGCTTCCTCACATTGAGGGGTGTGATGTAGAATGGAAGAAACCATGAACTTGGCTCACCAAATTCTTCTGGTTCTTTTATAAGAATCTAACAAAGTCTCCTATGGCCCAGGGCGAGAGATCAGAAATCATAGGTAAAGAGGGCAAATGGTGCCAATTGGGAGATGAGGCCAAGTAGTCATCTTCTCTCTAAGGGTATACTTTTCTATCTGCCTGACTTTTCTTCAAAGTAGCCTGGTCAGACCTGTTGTGACTCTGGCATGGTCTTTAGTAATTGTGAAGCTGATGACACTAAAGAAAGGGAAGAAAGAGCAGGAGGGCTTTATTACCTTCCCAAGTTACAAAATCACAATCCATTCCTGGTTTTTGAATGGCTGCTGCTCTTTACCTATGGAACTTGGTATTTATTATTTCTGCCAAGAATACGGAGGCTATAAAATACCTTCCTGAGTTTTTTGATGTCAGAAGATGATCGCTTCTCCATAATGTTTCATTTTCTGGAAAACAATACATCTGACATATATAGTTAGTGCCGTTTGAAATTAATGTCGTCTGCCTCTTTCAAATAAGTATGAATAGTTCTTTCTGATGCCTCAGTTTGTTTCCATTCACAAAGAGGTGTCACTTAAACCCCTCCACTCTCATGGTGAGTGAGAGCAGGAGTCCCTGATCCACAGCTGAAAGCAATATATTTAGTCTACTTCCGGAAGAGGAGTAGAGAGGAGTGGCTACCAAATGTTTCATCAATATTGTTTTACCTAAGGGAATCCATTTCTGTCAAGTGTGGCCTTTTGGCTGGGAAGATCTTTGAAATCCTACACACATGCACCCTCCCCCCAAGAGTACACATATATATATACATACATAAATACATACAAACAAACAAATAAACATGCATAGAAGGATGTTTAGTGTGGAGCTGTTACAAGAAATTTCTGTGCCTGGATGAGTGTCACAAAATTTGCTCAGGGTAAATAGAATAAAACAGCTTCGGAGGCTGCTGGAGAGCAAGGGGAAAAACAGCTGAGTGGGCTGGGGCAGAGTCCCCCCAGGGCACGGCCAACAGGGGCTGGAAGCATCTGGCAGCTTCCTAATTTCATTATTTATTCTTGCTAACTAGATGCTAAACGGTTGTTTCCATGAGTGGAAGAACTTGCAGGGCTGTCAGCACTCTCTAAATTCCAGTGTCTTGTTCCCCCCACCCTAGTTACAGCTCTGGTACTTTGCCTATCTGTCCTCAGTGACCTGGGCAGCTCAGTGGCACTGGGCCTAGAGTCAGGAATACTTATCTTTTTGAGTTCAAATTCAGTCTCAGACACTTTCTAGCTGTATGACCCCGGGCAAAGTCACTTCACCCTGTTTGCCTCAGTTTCCTCACCTGTAAAATGAACTGGAGAAGAAAATGGCAAATCACTCCAGTATCTTTGCTAAGAAAACTCCAAAATGGGATCACAAAGAGTCACACTTGATGGAATAACAAAAACTTCAGTGCCCTGGGCACTTTGGCATTTGGTGTTTGGTTTATTTCTAGAACATACACCTCTTCATGGAGTGAAAATAGTATTCTTCATGAATTGAATATAATCAAAGAATCGAATAATTGAAAGAAATAACACATGGTCCAAAGAATGTATTCTCATAATCTCCATTACAGTTGATGGTACCAATGAT